AAAATGAAGGCATCAAAATCATCAGGTACTGGCTATGAAATAGAAAAGCAGATCAACAGAACAGAGGAGACAGGGGCAGCTAGGTGGCATAATGGACAGAGCACCAGCCCTATCAGGGCTGGTCAGGAGGACCTGAGTTCAAATGCAGCCTCAGACACATAACACTTACTAGTTGTGTGACTGTGGGCAAGTCACTTAACCCCATTGCCTAGCCAAAAAACAAACAAACAAACCAGAGGAAACATACAATACACAGTAGCAAATGGTTATAGTAACTTTGTGTTTGACAAACATAAAGATTTAGGCTTTGGGAAATTAGAATTCATTATTTAATAAAAAAAATAATAATTGTTGGGAAAGCTGGAAAGCAGTCTGGCAGAAATTGGGCATAGACCAATATCTTACACCATTTACCAAGATAATCAAAATGGATACATGACCTAAATATGAAGGGAGATACCACAAGAAAATTAGAAGAACATGAAACATAATACCTATCAGACATGTGTACAAGAACAATTTATAAATAAACAATAGAGAGAATTGGGGATGTAAAATGGATAATTTCTATTATATTAAATTAAAAAGTTATAGAAATAAAACCAATGTAGCCAAGATTAGACAGAAAGCAGAAAGTTGGGGGGGAAATTTATAGTTTCTCAGATAAAGGTCTCATATTTCAAATATAGATAAAAAAAAACTTTGTCAAATTTTTAAGACTGAGTCATTGCCCAATTGATAAATGGTCAAAGGATATGATGAAGGATATGATTTCAATGAAGAAATCAAAACTATATATAGTCATATGAAAAAATGCTCTAAATCATTCTTGATTAGAGAAATATAAATTAACACAACTTTGAGATATCTTACACCTATCAGATTGGCTACAATGATAGAAGGGGAAAGCGACAAATGTTGGAGGGGATGTAGGAAAATTGGGACACTAATTCACTGTTGGGTGAACTGATCCAACCATTTTGGAGAGCAAACTGGAACTCTGGCCAAAGAGTTATTAAACTGTGTATACCCTTCAACCCAGCAATACCACTATTAGGTCTGCTTCCCAAGGTTTAGGGAAAAAAGGAAAAGAACTTATATGTTCTAAAATATTTATAGCAGCTCTCTTTGTGGAACTGGAAATTGAAGGGATGCCCATCAATTGTGGAATGGCTAAATCAGTTGTGGTGTATGATTGTGTTGGAATATTACTGTGCTATAAGAAATGATGAACTGGTGAATTTTAGAAAAACACGAAAAGACTTGGAAATAATGAAGAGGGGAAATGAGCAAAACCAAGAGAAAGAGAATGTAGTACATAATAAAAGCAATATTGTTCTAAGAACAACTCTGAATAACTAAGTCATTTGGAGTATCTTTGATATTCAAATCAACTACAAAGGACCTATGAAGGAAGATGCTATCCACCTCCAGAGAAAGAACTACTAAATAGAAATATGTATAGTATGATTTTACATATATACATATATATGTATGTATGTATATATACACCATTAGACACAAATATGTGCATATATATGCATTTGCACATATTTGTGTCTAATGGTAGCCTTCTCTAGGGCTGAGTGGGAAGGGAGAAAAATAAAATAAAAATTGCACTGCAGAGAACAAAAAAAAAACCTTAGAAGGAAGCACAGAAAAAAAAAAGGTAGCTTTGAAAATGGTGTGTAGTATTTATTACATAGTTTAAAAAAAAGTAAAGCGTGAAATGGAAATTGATGGTGTTATATTGAATTTTCTGTCTGTGTTATGCTGTGTATTTGGAAATGTTCTTTTTGTTTGTTGACTGACTCTAAAAGAGCCTGTGTTTTCAAAGGCCATGCCAGAAGAAGAGGCTAGCTCTTACAACTCCTACCAAGCAGTAAAGGCAACAAGTATGGGATTCTTGGAAAGAGCAGATTTTGGATAGAGGTGCAGTCATAAGCCTGATTGTAAAGAGTTGAGGAGTGGTGATAAAGAAGGAAAAGGATACTTTTTTTGTTGCCAAGTTGCTTCAGTCATATCTGACTCTTCATGACCCCATTTCAGGCTTTATTGGCAAAGAGGCTTAGTGGTTTGCCATTTCCTTCTCCAGCTCATTTTACATATGAGGAAACTGAGGCAAACAGGGCTAAGTGACTTCCCCAGGGTCACAAAGCTAGTAAGTAAGTGTCTGAGATCAGATTTGAACCTAGGAAGATGAGTCTTTCTGACTCTAAGCCTGGCACTCTATCCACTCTGCCACCTAGGTACCCCATTAAAAAGTAACATAAATGATATCAAGGTAATATATGATAAAAAGGAGGTGAGCCAGTCATATATCAAGGTCAAATGATCATAAATGTACTACCCAGGAATTCTACTGGTACCCACAATATGTTAGAGATTTAGAGGAAGTTCTCCAACATAGTGGATATATCTTCTATAAAGGATTTAAGAGAAAGCACGGATAGGTATCACCTAAGTTGAGAAGGTGTGATTTGATTGTAACTTGCACTGATAAAGAATGTGCCAAAATCAATATCAAGGATTCATCAAAGTATCAAATATTCTGTTACTGGAAAGTTTTCTCATCCCAAGCTCTGCCTTTAAGTTTACTTCAGCGATGGATCGTCTCAGTGGTAATCTACTACTGAAAGTAGACCCTAAAAGAAAAAGAGAAAAAGGAAAGGTACCAAAGGAGAAAGGAAAGATGGTACAACTCTGCACCAAATTTTTTTCTTTTATTTACTCAGCTATGTTTGCAACAGGCATGTTTATGGTTCATCATCTAATGTAAACACTGAGAGAGGCTTCTTCCCCCTACACATGATGTATAAAGTCCACTCGATAATGTTCATAATTCTTGTGTCTATTGACAGTAGACATACTCTGAACAGGCAGAGTGAGTCAGACTATATAATACAATTTATCCTGATATTAAAATGTCAAATGATGGTGAGAGGGACAGGAGTCAGGAAGGTACAACAGAAAGAGAATTAGATTTGAAGTTAGAAGTATATGTTTAACTTTAGCATCTCTCATGTTATTTAACCTCTTTGTGACTCAGTTTCCTCAGTTTCCACTTTAAAAACAAAGTGTCCACAACATAGGATCATAGGTACAGAGCTGGAAGAGACCTCAGAAACTGTCGGATTCAAATCCTTCATTTTACAGGTGAGGAAACTGAAGGTTAGAAGGGTTATCATCAGCATCATCATTGTCGTCATTACTGATGATGTTACACAGCATTATATTATACATAATACAATAGAGCTGTGTATAACATAGAATTAATATTAATAATGTTGTTTTTGTTGCTCAGTCACTTCAGGCACGTTTGACTTTTCATAATCCCATTTGGGCTCTTTTTTTTTTGGCAAAGATACTGGAGTGGTTTGGCATTTCCTTCTCCAGCTCATTTTGCAGATGAAGAAACTGGGGCAAACAGGGTGAAGTGACTTGCCCAGGGTCACACAGCTAGTAAGTATCTGAGGCCAGATTTGAACTCAGGTCTTCCTGACTCCAGGCTAATATTAATAAAAGCTAACATTTATATAGCACTTTAAAGTTTGCAAAGAGCTGTACATATATTATCTTAATTGATATTATTGTTATCCCCATTTTACAGATGAGAAAAATGAGGCCAAGAAAGGTTAAAAGAGCTGTACATATATTATCTTAATTGATATTATTGTTATCCCCATTTTACAGATGAGAAAAATGAGGCCAAGAAAGGTTAAGTGACTTACTGATGGGCACCCAGCTAGTAGGTAGCAGAATGAATCCAGATCTTCCTAACTCCAAGTCCAGCATTTTACATACTACATCATGCTGCATCCCTTGTATTTGCCCCCTCCTTGCCATTCACAAAGCCACCACCCTATTGCTTCAGGCTCTTTTGAGGCTTCCTAACTAGCCTCCCTACATCCAATCTCCCCTTCCTCCAATCCATTCTTCAGCTACCAAATGAAGGGAATAGAAACTAGAGGACAGTGTCTCTGACTTCTCATACTAGAACATTCTTTCACCTGGTTTTGGTACTAACATGGGCTTGTCTTTCAGATGTCAGGCAAGATGAGTAGTGAAAACGGGCATTTTATTAAGCATCCATGTGTCAGACACTGTGCTAAGCTCTTTCCCAATATTATCTCATTTGATCCTCACAACAACCCTGTGAGTTGGATGTTACAGTTGAGGGAACTGAGGCAGACAGAGGTTAAGTGACTTGCCTAGAGTCACATTGCTAAAGTATGCTTGAGGCTAGCTTTGTTTTTGTTTTTGTGTTTGGCTAGGCAATGGGGTTAAATGACTTGCCCAAGGTCACACAGCTAGTAAGTGTCAAGTATGTGAGGCTAGTTTTAAGCTCAGGTCCTCCTGACTCCAGGCCCAACTCTCTATCCATTGCATCACCCAGCTTGCTTGAGTTTAAAGAAGAAAGGTGACAGAAGAATGCTTGAGGGGATGTGGTTAGAAAGGTTTTCACCTCCCCACACTCAGCCCCTGACTCTGATTGATATAGCTGACTGGTAATGGCAGCAACTGTCTGTGCCCATGCCAGGACCAAGACTTGAAACATTTTCTCTCTCTCTCTCTCTCTCTCTCTCTCTCTCTCTCTCTCTCTCTCTCTCTCTCTCTCTCTCTCTGTCTCTCTCTCCCCCTCTCTCTGTCTCTGCCTCTCTCTCTCTCTCTCTCCCCCTCTCTCTGTCTCTGCCTCTCTCTGTCTCTCTCTCCCCCTCTCTCTGTCTCTGCCTCTCTATCTCTGCCTCTCTCTGTCTCTCTCTCTCCCCCTCTCTCCTCATGCCCTCTTCTGATAATCATTGGCTTCCTTCAGGCACTCAGGTGCCACATGTGATACAAAGCCTTTACCAATCAGCCCATTTCTAACTGCTTTCTTCAAACTCAATGCTTATTTAATAAAAGGCAGTGTCAAGGGGCAGCTAGGTGGTGCAGTGGATAGAGCACCAGCCCTGGAGTCAGGAGGACCTGAGTTCAAATTTGGCATCAGACACATAACACTTACTAGCTGTGTGACCCTGGGCAAGTCACTTAACCACATTACCTAGCCAAAAAAAGGCAGTATCAGGCAGTGAAAAATTCCCTGACATTAGAGGTGGAGATCCTGGGTTCAAAATCAGCTTCTGTCACTTACTACCAGTACAATCGCAGACAAATCACTTTGCCTTTCTGACCTGTTTCTTCATTTGTAAAAGTGAAGGTGTTGGGCTAGATTGCCTGTAAGGTTCTTTCTGGCCTAGATCTATGATCCTATGGGGAAAAAAATGTTGCCCATCAATGTCACTGAGTACAAAGTCTTTCCCAGCAAGGGAAGCAAAAGTCTGACAGTGAATCTTAAAACATGGTTTCCGAGGTGGTACTCAGACCTATGCCCTCAGTCAATTACTTGATTTGAGGAGTATTATGAAGAATGATTGCTTTTAAGACTAATGTCAGGATGCAATCTAGGGCGCCTGAAGATCCCATTTAGAGCAGCAGCGTTATTAACACTCACACAGAAATCAATGACACCGTCATCTACTTGCACCAAAAGACTTGATTGAAGTAGAAATTCCAAGGGACTTTTTTCTTACAAGAGATCCCTCCAATCTTGGTAAGGGCAGGCTTATATCCAACTTATCAAATGTTATGTTTTTTTCTTCCTCTAACAGGTACTCAGGTCTTGGAAGTACAAGAGAGAATATACTATTTTTTCCTGAGATAACACAAGCTCTTTTCTGCATCAATAGAGAACACTGTGGTGTTGTCTGAAAGGTCCAAAATGATGATAGACAACTAGCAAGATGGGAATGTACTTTGCACTGGTTTCAGGACATTTGACAGTTCCACTCTCTGAGGGATAAAGGCCTAAGTAATAATGATGGGATGAGGTAATACATGTGAAATGATTCATAAATATAAAGCACTATACAAATTGAAGCTTTATGATTAGCAAGCACAGAAAACTTCGGGGAACTGACAGTGCTGAAGCACTCCACTGATGAAGACTGACTCTTGTAGAATTGATTGGTGTGGGAAAGAAGATGAATGATTTGCCTGTAGTCACATAGCTAATATATGCCTAACGCAGGACTCGAACCCAGATCTTCCTGTCTCTATGGTTAGCTATCTATCAGGTATGATGTACTATCACCTCCTCATAGGACCTTGGCTGTACTGCTACAAGGAGGGATGTGTCAGAGCCAGCTTAAACTGGTTCTGGAAAGCTGATTGTTAAATTTTCAGTGTGAACATTTACACCTCAGAAATCAGGGCTTAGGGCAGCGAGGCGGAGCAGTAGATAGACCCCCGGCCCTGAAGTGAGGAGGATTTGAGTTCAGACGTGGCCTCAGATACTTACTAGCTGTGTGAGCCTGCATAAGTCATTTAACCCCAGTTGCTTCCAAAGAAAAAAAAAAAGAAAGAAAGCAGGGCTTGATTTATTATTTTGTTGATTATCTTGACTTAAGAAAGTGATAGAGAAAATGTTAACAATGCAGATTAGACTTAAAAGTGTGTCATGTATGCATTTTTTTCAGAGAGTCAGTTAAACATTTGCCAGTATACCCAGAACTTAAGAAGCCAGCTAATCCAAGTCCCTCCTTTTAAAGAAGAGGAAGCAGAGGCCCAAGAAGGTTAATTAACTTGCCCAAGGTAATTAACTCAGAAGCAGGATTTGAACTCAACTCTTCTGGCTCCAAAAAGCCAGCTTTGTTTACTGTACCAGGCTCCTCCTTTTTGTCTCCTTCTTCCTCTTACTCCTCCTCCTTTTCCTCCTTCTTCCCTTCTTCCACTTCCACCTCTACTTCCATTTTCCTTGATGTGGACTGAGGAAACACCTTCCACCAATGTCGATCAGCATCTCTTTTGTAACTTGGGATCGTAAAGAGTTGCCTTGGGAACTGAAAGGTTAAGAGAATTTCCCATGGTCATTCTGCTAATATATATCAGAGGAAAGGACAGCAACAGTCATCCTTTATATCTTTCACGCTTTGAAGTTTACAAAGGATAGACAAGACAGTTCCTGTCCCTTTTTAAGTCCTATTTGAATTAAGCATCTTTGTTTCCTCAAGTATATCTGATTCACACAGACTATTTGTGCCCAACTGGTGGTAGGGCCTTTTCAGCTTGTTGATCAGCCACAGTCGGATGCATTGTACACTGACTCCAACACAGTGATGTCATTTTGGTCCTCTTCAAGAATGAAGGACAACTGGGGCAGCTAGGTGGCACAGTGGATAGAGCACCAGCCCTGGTGTCAGGAGGACCTCAGTTCAAATCCAGCCTCAGACACATAATACTTCCTAGCTGTGTGACTCTGGGCAAGTCACTTAACCCCAATTGTCTCACTTAAAAAAAAAAAAAAGAATGAAGGACAACCAACCAGCCAGCCAACCATATGTGATTCTCCTCTTAGAACTGGACTGAGTTTACACACTGAGAATTCACTCTGTAGCACAGCCCAATAGTAGACACACACTGATGTATCTGTAGATTCTTTCATGGAAAACAACCTTAATAGCAGGTGAAAACACAAAACATTTTGCAAATGTACCGTGCTCTTGTTTGATTACTGCAGAGAGAATGAACAAGCCACTTTCTTGTCTCTACCTCATTGTTCAGTGAAGAGAATATTGTTTTATTCATCTCATGGGAATTTTTAAAAATTATGTTTTAAAAATATGATGACAAACTTTATATATGTATGTATATATTATGTATTTATATGTATGTGTGTATATGTGTATACACACACACACACATTATATATTTCTGGTAATGGCAAGGGTTATGACCAATGTTTTCAAAAATGCAAAAAGACATTGGATCGCTGAGTCTAAATGCTTTGCTGGATAGGGCATGGTTCCCTAGAGAAAGAACATATGGTGCTACTTAACTACTTAAACTATTATTTCCCACCAACTTATCCAAATGATTTTTTATTTGGCTAAGAAAACCTGTTCATTATAATTTGCTAGTTTATCTTCAAAGAAGTAACAGGGGGTAAAAAATAATGATGTAAAAAGATGATGCCTGATTGGGTGATGGAGAATTAGAGGATTCACATTTTTAAATATCCAACAGAATCTTGTCTTTCCATCATAGTTCCCTTAGATTTTCTTTTAACTATTTACAGATCAGGAGGAGATTTCTTAAAAAGTGTATCAACTCACATGGTGGCTTAAGACAAATTAGAAAGCACTTTGTAGTTATTGAAAGAAAGATTGTGAAACTCATGCCTTGTTTGGCAAAGGAAGGGGGTTTTTTTGTTTGTTTGTTTTAGGAGTTCATTTATTCATTCAATAAACATTTATCAAGCACCTACTATGTGCCCGGCACTGTGCTAAGTGCTGGGGATACAAAAAGAGGCAAAAGACAGTCCTTGACCTCAAGGAGCTTATACTCTAGTAGGGGAGACAACATACAAATATATATAAACAAACTGCATACAGGATAATAGGAAATCATTAAAAGAGAGAAAGCACTGGAATTAAGAGGGTTTAGGGAAGACTTTTAAAGGAAGCCAGAGAGAAGCCGGAATGGAGGAAGGAGAGCATTCCAGGTGTGGGTGACAGCCAAAGAAAATGCCTGGAGAGGCTTAGATTCTTATAATCTAGCCATGAGCTCAGATTCTTACAATCTAGCCAATAGCTTACTCATGTTCAGACTCCTTAAGAGTCTGCCCAATATGACGGATGTTCTAATAAACCTTATCTTTGGCTGAAAGAAAAAAAGAAAGAAAATGCCTGCAGACAAGACATAGAGTGTCTTGTTCATGGAACAACCAGGAGGCCAGTGTCACTGGTTGGAAGAGTACATGTTGAGGAGTAAAGTATAAGGAGCCTGGAAAGGTAGGAGGGTTCTAGGTTATGAAGGATTTTGAATGCCATACAGAGCACTTTGTGTTTGCTACTGAAAGCAATAGGAAGCTGCTGGAGTTCATTATGTTTAATGAACAACCACCATGGACCTATAAGTTGTAGTTACAAAGGAAGTAGAAATTCTGATATCATCTAGATCTAGAAGCTTGAAGCCCAGAGTCTGAAATCAGACACAGGCTTGTTGGTGTTCAGTCATTTTCAGTTGTGTCCAACTCTTTTTGGCCCCGTTTGGAGTTTTCTTGGCAGAGATAGTGGCGTGGATTGCCATTTCCTTCTCCAGCTTATTTTACAGATGAGAAACTGAGGCAAACAGGGTTGTGACTTGACCAGAGTCACATAGCTAGTAAGTGTCTGAGGCTGGATTTGAACTCGGAGCTTATTGACTCCCGGCCTGACATACTCTATCTCCTGTACCACTTTGCTGCCCCAGACACAGACGTACCCTTTTAAAAGAGCTATGGATTTGTGGTCAGAGGACCTGGGTTCAAATCCCAGTTCTGCCACTTACTGCTTGTGTGGCCTTGGACAAGTTATTCCCTCTATCTAGATCTTAGTTTCCTTATTTATAAAAATGGGGGTTGGATTTGATGACATCTAAGATCCCTTTCAGCCCTAAATCTGTGATGCTATGATTTTATTCCAGACCTTTGACTTCTATTTCAATGATGCTGACTTCTATGGTACTGAAACAGGAAGTGCTAATGTCTTCAGTATCAGAACTGACTTCGTAGCCTATGGAACTAGAATGATAATTATGTAAACACGTAACAGGCTGTATCCAGGCCCAGACTACAATTCCTCTTTGGAACTGCATTCTCCAAAAGATTGTGTGTGAGTTTGCAAAGCAATTCTTGTAGGACTTGTTATTTTCCTTCAGTTCTCCATTTGCTTCTTTATATGTAAGTGGACAATTATCACATGTTAACATTGTCTACTTTTTATTGCATAATAAATTCCAAAGTCCAAGATTCTTCTCTTTCTAGGAACATAACCTAACAACAGTAATTCTACCATAACTTTCTAATTATCTGGAATATAGAGTAATGGTCAACAAAAATAGACCATACCTAGGATAATTAATTACTTTTATTATCAATTTAATCTGTAAGCATTCAGATAGGAATACATTTTAAATAACTCTCATGTATAAAAGGAACCATTCTATTACGAGAACTTGGGAAGAACAATTAGCACGGACCAAAAAAATCCCAGGACCACTATAAATATAACTGCCCATTAAGAACCTAACTTTCAGTTTTAGGTCATCATTTTAAACCCTTGAATCCCTTAATAAGGAAATGACAATATGTAGAGCTTTGGGAGGGGATGAAGACAAGGATATAATCAAGAGTTGGCAACTTTTCAGAAATAGCAGACTGTTTCTATAATTGTACTGTAAAGTTTTGCCAACCAGTAATATTACCAGTAATAATACACCAACTCTAACAGTCTTGAGAGGGTCAATTGTTAAATGTTTGGTAATGGGGTGAGTGGTACCAACACTGACAAAATGGGGAGCAAACTCAGAAGGTTTAGAGCTGGAAGGAACTCTAGAGATCATCTATCCCAATTCCCCCATTTTGTAGATAAGGAAATGGAGGCCTAGAAAAGTCAAGTGACTTGTCTAAGGTCCCATGGCTACTAAGCAGCACAGCTGGGCTTTAAACTCAGATTTCCTGACTCTCCGTGCAATGGTCTTTCTGCTTTACCATGCTGCCTCTTTCTCCCTTTTCCATCTCTTCCATTCTTCCATCTGAGGCTAGAAACTCAAGTTTCTGCTATCTCAGTTTTGAATTTTGGCAACAGTTCCCACAGAGTCTGCTGATTCAGTTATCAGCTGACTCAGGTGTGTATTTCTCCACCTTTTCCTCTTGCTAATTGGACTAACAGTGTAAGTGCCACTGAAAAAGATTACTAACGTAATCTTCAACATATTTTTATAGGGTCCTGAATCCTGATCTCTGTGCAGTTTTAGCTAAGGAGATGTGCCAGAAGAATACAGAAGATACATAGTAACCTGGGTACTAGAGGTGAGGACCTAATGGCAAATTAAAAATGAGGATATAATTAAATGGACTAAAGTCTAATGGACCAATTAGAGCTAATCAGGAATTCTAGCACTGCCACAATACACCCATGGTTGCAGCAAATAAACCAAACATCAGAATAGCCCAGATCTTGGGGGAGGAGGGGAGGAGGTTACCACCAAAGACTGAGGTACATCCAAATGGAGCAATGTAGGATTCAAAATGTACTGAATGCCCACTGTTTTTCCTGGCAGCTTATATTGGAATGAAAAATAGATGTCTGTTCCAATGCCCTACATAGAGAAGTAGTTGGGTAGAATGAATGAAGAGATTAATACTGCGAGTTCAAATTGTAGCTTAATCTAAGAGCCTAAAATCCGGGGTGTGCTGCAGCCAACTCTGACAGTCTTTAGAAAGTCAATTGTTAAATGGTCAGTGTGAGCCTCTACAACCCAGAAATAGATGAGAGCACATAAATCAGAGCTTCAGTTCTTGTTTCATGGATTATCTAGACTTAAATTATGGAAAAAATTGTTAGTGAGGCAAATTAAACTTAAAAAATGTATGTGTACACATTTTCTGAGCTCCTTTGTTAAATATTTACCAATATACCCCAACTATGAATATAATGGTAGTAGCTAAATCATGAGCCATGACCTGTGGCACCTCCATGCTTGAATTCTAGGCCCACCACATCACTTCTTGGCAATCTACAAGCTACGTGGCTTCCAACTGTTGTTCCCCCATAATTAATGTCTTCTTCCATTAGAATGTAAGTTCCTTGAGAACAGGGACAATCTTGCTTACATGTATTTGTATCTCTCACACTTAGCATAGCTCCTATGCCATAATAAAGGCTTAATAAAAGTTTTTTTCATCCATTCATTCATTTATTCGTATATTCATTTACTCAAGGAACTGATGATCAAAAAAAAAATGGAAATGAACATGAGAAATAACATCAACCCTGTCTATAATAATTGTATCCAGAAGTTTGACCAATATGAATCAATTGCCACAGTGAAGATACAGAGAGAACACTAAGCACCTTAGTCAGCAAATATCTGACTTGCCAAATGGGGAGAGGTGGTTTCTAGAAGCAACACTGGCTTGCAGAATTAACCTCTTTGCAAAATCTTGTGAAGAAAGATTATGCATGATTTTGAGCATTATTGTGTCATAACAGAGAAGCAATGGAAAGTAAAGAGTTTTTAAAAATCTTGGCAAGACATTCAACCAACCAAAGTCATTTTGCTACTCTCCCATCTATACAAAAAGTCTCCATTAGAGTTTTCAAGATCATCCTTAATAAGGCTATTAATCAAAAATAAGCAGGCTTTTGCAGGCAGTATTCAACTGTCAATTATATCTTTACCATTTCTCAATTAGTCAGCTTGCATTCATTAAAGCAACTGCTATGTTCCAAGCACTAGGGACTTAAAGAAAGGTAAAAAACAAAAACAAACCAAAAATACCAGGCCCTGCTCTCAAGGACCTCACAGTGTAATGCAGGAGATGACATGTGAACAGCCAGGTACAAATGATATCTACAAGACAAATAGGGGGTAGTCTTGGAGACACTAAGATTGAAGAGGACTGGAAAAGGCTTTTTGCAGAAGGTGAAACTTTAACCTGAAGGAACCAGGGAAGGTGAAGGCAGAGATAAGGAGGGAAAGAGTTCCACGCATGGGAGACAACCAGTGAAAATGCTCAGACTTGGGAGATTGAGTGTCATGTGAAAGGAATAACAAGGAAGTCAATGTCACTGGATAGCAGAATACATGGAAAGGAGCAAGGTATAAAAAGACTTGGAAATAGGAGTCGGGGACAGATTATGAAGGTCTTTAAAAGCCAAAGAAAAGGATTTTGCATTTGATGATAATGATGGTAATAGAAAACCACTAGAGTTTATTGAATGGGAGTTGCAGTGTGCCATGGTCAGACCTGCATTTTAGGAAGATCCCTTTGACAACTGAAGGAGGATGGATTGGAGTGGGGAAAGAATTGAGGCAGGCTATTGTAATAGTCCAGGGGTGCATGGATGAGGGCCTGCATCAAAGTGATGGCAGTGTCAAAGAAGAGAAGGGGGCATATATAAGATATATTATAAAGGTAAAAATTACAATTAATGACAACTGACTGGATATAAGGATGGGGGGGAGAATGAGGAGTAGAGGATTATATCTAGGTTGTAAGTCTGGCTAATTGAAATGGTGGTGGTATCCTTGACAGTAATAAAGAATTAAGAAGACAGGAAGATTTGAGAGGAAAGATAATTAGTTCAATTTTGAACATTTTGAATTTGAGGTATCTATAGAATATCCAGTTCAAGATGTCAAGATATGTGAGACTGGAGGTTAGCAGAGAGGTTAGGGCTGAATAAGAAGATTTGAGAACCATCAGCATAGAGATGATAATTGAATCCATTGGAGTTGATGAGATCATCAAATGAAATACTATAGAGAGAGAAGAGAAGAGGGAACAGGACAGAACCTTGAGGGACCTCCATAGTTAGCAGGCATGAGATGGATGAAGATCCAGCAAAGGACACAGAGAAGCAGTCACATGGGTAAGAGGAGAACCAGAAGAGGTCAATGTCACAAAAAACCTAGAGAGAAGAGAATGTCAAGGAACAGAGATGATTAACAAGGCTGCAGAGAAGTTGAGGCTGATGATTGAGCAAAGACCATTAGATTCAGCAATTAATAGATCATTATTAACTTTGGAGAGAGCATTTCAGTTGAGTGATGAGGTCAGAAGCCAGACTGCAAAGAGATAAGAAGAGAATGAGGAAAGGAAGTAGAGGCATCTATTGTAGACAGCCTTCTCAAGGAGTTGAACCCCAAAAGGGAGGAGAGATATAGAACAAAATTTAATGGGGATGGAGGGATCAAGCGAAGTTTTTTGAGGATGAGGGATGTGACATATTTGTAGGAGCAGGGAAGCATCCTGTAGACGGGGAGTCTTTGAAGATCAGTGAAAGTGGAGATGTTCAAGGGGGTAAATCTGTTGGAGAAGACAAGATGGAATGTGATCATTTGAGCATGTGTAATGGTTTGATTTAGCAAGAAGGACCACTTTTTCATGTGAAACAGAAGTGAAGAAGATATTTATTGGCGGAAGGCATCAGAGAAATGTGATAGGAAGAGCAGGAGAGATGAGGAGGCCCTCAGCAAATGGCCTCAATTGTTTTCAGTGAAATATGAAATAGCACTTATATAGTACTTTAAGATTTGCAAACAGCTATAAAAATATTCTCATTTTAACCTCAAAACAGCCTTGTAGGAGGTGCTATTATTATCCCCATTTTATTGAAGAAGAAACTGTGGCAGATAGCAGTTAAGTGACTTGCCCAGGGTCACAACAACTATGAAATGTCTAAGGCCCTAGAATTTGGGTCTTCCTGACTCCAGGAACTAACTGCTTCTAAGTGTTATATGACAGTATGACACGGACTATACTGTCTACGAGGAATCAAAATTAAAATTACATGGAAGTCAATAGAGAGATGCATGGTGGATGTGAATAAGGTTCAACTTATAACCAATGAGGAACTCCAAAGAAAAACAGGAGTGAAAGATGTCATCAAGGAATTGTATTACAGGAAGAGAAGATGGAGAGAGGACAGGAGGATGACAGCCAAAGTGTTCCACAGGCATCCTGTCAATGGCAGGAGAGAGCAAGGGAGGTCTTGAGCATGTTGGGTTGACCCTTTGTGGCGTACGTACAGAACATGAGCAAGACATCACACAGGACAGTCAGGCATAGATGGATGGGATTGTGCAAGTCTGCACCACTGGAGGAAACTTCTGAATCAAGGTGATCACTGGTCTGAGTTGAGTAAATTGGAACAATGTGTCACTTGCAATTCTGGATAAGTTTCTATTTTAGGCGAAGCAGAAAAGCACCCTATTCTCAAAGTTTTTGTTGTTGTTTCATTGATGTCTCACAATTACTGAACTTAAAAAAGCAGGACTAGTGGTATTAACAAGTTTACCTGAAGCTAATGACCAGAAAAGTTTTGCAACTTTAAAGGAAACGAAAAATAAGTAAATAATTCAATATGGAACATCCCTAATGAGAAGGTTATCCTGAAATCTAAGCCATTAACAAGCTTGGATACCTTTGTTCACTTAGCATATGATGAACACAGGGCCTTTTTTGGCCCTGCCTTTTTTCCCCAAGCCTTTGGGATTTTTGTTTAATTACAACTGTTTTTCATCAACTGACTTAAAATAAAAATTGGCCATTTTAATCTCTTAGGCCAGACAGCAATATGACTGCCTCATTACTTGAATGTGTATTGTACTAGTTCTTTTAAAAAGTCTTTCATTTCTCACTCTCTGGTTCCTAGGTTCTCTTGCTGTTTGTCAGCTATTAAGTGATAATATTAATAATTACTAGCATTAATTATCATCTATTAAGAATAAGTAAAACTGAGATGATGTGCTGTGGAGCAAAGTGCTTCAGACACAGAAAAGAGCAGAAGGGAGTTCAGAAGGGGACACAGACAAGAAGGGCAGTGTTGGAACTACTGAATTTAATCTAATACATGCTGCTTTTTCTAAAGGCGTATGAAGTATAGATTTCACATAGATATGGCATGCAGTGTTCTTTCTATAGTTTGTATCAGGAAATGTTCATCTTTATTGATGTTTGCCAAGTTCATACTAACAAAAAAGAAAATTTAAGAGAAAAAAGTACGCTGTATTTTAAATCAGAGTGCCTGAGTCCATAAACCCCCCAAAAAGAAAATGAGGTTGCCTGGAATGACTTTTTTTAAAAAACAAAACAAAAAACACTTGCTGGCTTTTATTAATCACCTCTGCCCTAAATTCTCCCAAATTGTCCCTTTACCAATCCATTCTAGAATTGTACCAGAAATAGACATCAAGTTCCCCAGCTAATATAGTTTGAAATATTGATATCATTCTCCTTTTCTCGAAATTAGAAGCATTTATTCACCTCCAGAGAGATGAACTCTGAGTGCATATTGAAACATAATTTTTTTTCATTTTATTTTTCTTGCTTTTTGTTTTGCAACATGACTAATGTGGAAATATATTTTGCTTGATTTCATCTGTATAATTGATATATTGTTTGCCTTCTTAATGGGTAGGGAAGAGGCTAGAGGGAGGGAGAGAATTTGGAACTCAAATTTTTTTTTAAAAAATGTTAAAAATAAATAAGGAAAATTTATAAAGAAAAAAATAGAGGCATTTGTCCTTTTCTAATCCCAAGAAGCAGGTCCAATGAGAAGGATATCACCTCTCTATCAATCACAAGTTGAATTCTTTTCCAGTGGCAGTTCAAAATCTTAAGGTCTTCCTCTAAGGCTGGTCTCTGAGGCAGGTCTCTGAGGTACAGTGTAGAAGATCGAATGGAATATGAGAGGCTGACTCTCTGGTGGGCCCAAATTTGTTTACCTTGTAGAACTCCAAAGCCGTAGGATTAGTACTATACGACTAGAAGCCCAGTCTAGAGCGCAAGAGGTCCCTGAAGTAGAAAGTTGGGGTCACCAGTATGTCCTGAGTGTTTTTTGAGTTTTCCATGTTCTGTGGGGGTGAAATAAAGGCTCTCCTGCATCCAGTGCTGTGAACTGGTTACTTTCATGGGACCTAAAGTCCTTTTGCCAAACTCTTTTTAAGACTTACACTCATGAATTGCTTTTTATGATTTAAAGGAGAGAATCTGTGTGGAAGCAATATAAGTCAGTGAGACAGAATTTGGGGATGAAGTTCCAACAGACTGAATCCAGTCCGTGGAAATCCATAGCTTGGGATTCTGGGCCATGGAGTATCCACCTAGTACATATTTGAGCCAAACAGCACTACTCTCCATCCCTGAGTTTTGTTCTGTTC